CAATGGGCCTCGAATCAATCTGCACTTTTGCCTTCTCTCTTTCCAAATGCTGTGATAGCCGAGTTATAGATAGTGTCCCTCAAATGTGACCATTTGGACTCAATAGTGTCTGTTGGTGGCGTTTGTACAAGAGCTTCTTGTAGACTATGGGTGTATACTTCTGTTCTCTCTGGGTTTTTGGTGGAGCAGATGTTTATGCGTGGTTTACCCTTGTTTTGGTGTGACACAGTTTCTTTGGCTGTAGCCTTATCTTGCTAGCCACTAAGGAATGATCTGTGTCGCAGTCTGCGCTGTGGTAGCTGCGTGTGAGGAGGACACTGGCCAGTTGTGTGCGTCTTGTGAATATGAGATCTAACTGGTGCCAGTGTTTAGAGCGGGGATGCCTCCATGACACTTGGTGGATAGCCTTACAGTTGAAGTAGGTGTTAGTTACACAAAGTCCATGTAGGCAGCACAGTTCCAATAGTCTCTGCCCATTTTAATTTAGCCTGTCTCTTCCAAAATGACCGAGGCATGTTGGCCAGGCCATGTGATCGCTTCCTACTCTTGCATTGAAGTCACCCAAAAGGTAAATTGCTTCGTTGTTGGGTATGCTGGCTATTGTTTGATTAAGATCTTCGTAGAACTGGTCTTTGGCTTCTGAGCTGGAGGAAAGTGTTGGGGCATAAGCACTGAGGATGTTGACTAAACCTGAAGATGTTGATAGACGGATGGTTAGTATTCTATTTGTGCCCTGTGTCGGTGGTTCTATGGAGGAGCAGAGTGTGTTTTTTATAACAAAACCAATCCCATGTTGTCTTGGTGCGTCCATTGGTCCACCCTGCCAGAAGAAAGTGTAATTGTGTTCTCTTATGGTACCGAAATTAGGGGCGCCTAGTTTCCTGGAGACAGGCAATATCAATGTTTAGCCTGCTAAGCTCTCTATCAATGATAGCTGTCTTCCTTGCATCGTTTATGAGCTGCAGGTTGGCAGCAATGCCCGGGCACATTGTCCTCACGTTCCAGCTTGTTAGTCGAAGAGCTGGGGGTCTTCTTTTCTTTTGTTTTCTTATTTCTAGGTGCATGTTTTTGTGGCCTCTGAGCTCCACGCACCCGGCGATATCTCCCACCGTCAGAAGCAACCCCTGGCGCCTAGCTCTACGCCAATGGAGCTATGGCTTAAAACCGGTAACTGCTGCCTCCCGTGTTGTGTTCACACCATTCGGCGATGCTGGAGTGTCCTCTCCAGTGAAGATAAAGCCTGGGTGAAGTAGTATGGAGAATCAGCTGCTGCCCAGACAGCATATCCCCCCTCTCCACGCCAAATGTAATACAATAAGATATAAATGTATTGTTATCCACGTAAAAATGTACACATTCTATTTCCTACCTCCGATATGTATGTACCCAAGAAGGTTAATTATTTATCAAATTCATTCCTTTATTTTGAGACGTATCTTGTGCTGCCTGGTGCAAAATGACTACCCCACTCCCCAACCCCAGATTTAAATAAAATTAATAAAAATCTTCCACCGTATTATAGTTCCTTCCATACCCAAACTAACAGATTTTGCACTTCAAATTGTTTGTTCTTATTTGGATGAGTTATAAGTGGATTAGTGAATGCTATTTGGCTCTGGAGTTTCGCTGCACAGATTGACTTAAACGGCATTTTCTTATTAGAAGTACATTTAAAAGTTAAGGTTTTATTACGTTATAAATTTGATAAAAACATGCATTCAAGTAACGAACTTTGTAAAAATCCCAATAAATCCCCCCCCCCCTTTCCCAGCTCGACACCACAGATTTTTTTACTTGAACTATATTACTATTGTAATGACCCAACGGCCTTTATACCGCAGATTCATTTCACCAAAAATTTTAGCAAAACAAAAGAAAAGATTCATCATATTCTGCATCAATCCAAGGGGAGTTAAAAAAAAAAAAAGGGATCTCATTTATTTCAGTTAACAGGAATTTTATTCTATCTTCCTTACTTCCCTTTTAAAAACAAACTGCTTTTGGGGGTGAGGGGGTGGAGCTAAAAATTTGAATGAAACGTTCATAAGCAATGAGACTATGTGCCAAGTGTCAGCTTGATATGTTGACAAGAAGTGAGTCAATTATCCGGTCCGAAGATGTTGCCCTAAAACAAAAGCGAAGTTAAATAAATGATTTAAAAATACTAATTTGGATTTTAATCAAATTTCAAACTTTGTTATCCACTAGTTTTTAAAATACAATTCATGTCAATTCTTGGTTCTTAATTATAAATTTGTTTGATCATTGATAGAATGTCTAGTCATGATTCTAATCCTAAATGCTTACCAAATGGTGGAGCATTATCTTCCATAAATATACATGTATTATATAGAATTAGAAAAGACTGCAAGAGCTGCTGCTGTTCTGGTTGTATAGGCCTAAATGCTTTTATCACAGTTGTTTTCTTCTGCAATGTGCTGTCACCATAAACACAGGTATTACAGGCCAGTGAAAATTTGTATTGCACAAAATGAACTCAGTTTTGTCACATTGTGGTGAGAGGTAGGCCTACCTAGTATTTGTATGAGCTCTCCGATAACTCACTTGATTAGTAAGATCAGTGACATACCTACAGGCTGAATATTTAAAAAACTGCCTTTTAAATATTGATGTGACTATAATTACGTAAAATGTTTTTTAATCCTGTTGTATTTCTCTAAAAATAAATTAAAAATATAACAATATAGAAAGATGAAAAGTCAAACGTTATGTTTCATTTATTTATTAATAATGTGTAAAAAAAAAATATATTTTTATTATATCCCTTGACATAAATATGCATATTATAATTCTATATTTTTTATAAATTTGTTTGATAACATTAACCATAAACATGTCCTTTATAAGAAAAGGTTGAAAATACCAGTACAAAGATTGATTAAATTTGCTGCCTGATCTTCACATGATTGTAATAAAGAGAATTAAATCAATAAATCAATATCTGATTAAAAGCTGATTTCCACATGGTGCACAGAAAAAATATTTTGAGTATGTATAATGCTGAGGTGATATCACATATTATATCAGTTGTCATGGTGACTCAGAAATTTACCTAAAAATGCAGATTTTAGAAAATATCAACAGCAAAGTGACTCAAAAATAAATGATTGCCTTATGATTGAAATATTTATAGAATTCCAGAGCTGGGATCATCAATGTTTAGTTTTAGTTGCAAGTAGGCCTACTATCTTTTACTCAAGTAATAAAAAGTGTTTTGTACTTTTTTCAACTACATATTAAGAACTACATGATCTGGAGTCGAAAGTTGAATCCAGGTGTCAAACTCAGACTTCAAAAATGAAATCATTTTAAGCATATTTTGATAACAGCGAATAAAATTGTTTTACAACCTGGTTTATCCATTACTTAACTGTTGACAAAACAGATTTTTTTTATTAACTGCACTTTAGAGAGGACTTTTTTTAAGGCTAAGACTTAGATATGAAATGACATTTGATTGTCAGTTAAAAATTAAATAAATTTAAGACAGCTGAGAACAAACAAAATTATAACATCATCATTTGTCACCTAAATCTGTAGTCTATTCCAATGCTTAAGTATAATGACCATTCACTTAAATAAGTTAAAAAAAAAAAGAAAAAAGCAAGCATCTGATTATTATAATTGGTACAGACAGACACTACAAACATAAAGCATGAATTTCATTTACTTTGTAAAACTAGTAAAAAGTTTAGAAACGTTCTGAATTATACATAAATCAATCAATTGTTACGGAGAAAATAAAATTAAACCTGCAGCTTTTAGTTTTATAGAATTAGTTGTTCACAGGAATAAATAGGTAAAAAAATAAATGTGAGATTTAATGCGAGAGTTTACTACGCTTATGTATTGATATATTTTCAAAATGTATTTGCTACTTATTTTAATACACAATTTCAAATTAACAATTCAAGAAAAAATGTGCCAAAAGACTTTTTATGTATCTCTTATTCTTAATTTACTTATTGTCATAGAAGTCTTCATGCTTTTCAATCATGCTTTTCTATAATAAAATATAAAAAATGAGGTAAATATTTGAGTATTTTGGCAATTGTCACCAACACTGCAACATTTCATTTAAATAAAGTTGTATTTTTGGACCCTCAACCACATTTATGTACATCATTGCCATAAAAATTTGTTGAGTAAATAAATTACAACATCAAAAAAATGCTGAGTACTCATTAACATTAAGGTGAAAAAAAGGGGGGGGGGGGGGGGGGGTGGGGGGAAATTGCCACAATTTTGAAAAAAAAAAAAACTTAAATTATGTCAAATATAAATATATGACTTATATTATTTTAAGAAATATTCCACCAGTTCAGGTGTCATTAGCTCCATTTCCTTTTTAATTTTATTGTATGCATTTTAAATAATTTTTATAGGAAGGTGTCCTCAGCCTTCATCTGACACCCAAAGGGATCCATGGCTAAATCTGACAGGAAGGTGGAGTTCGGACAAAAAAGGTTAAGCAACCAAAGTATTTAAAAAGGAATCCAGCTCTGATAAATTTCTACAGTATAAATAAAAAAATAATGAAATTTTAGCTGAGAAGTCAACACAGTATGTTGCTATAAAAGAATGGATGCTTAACCGATCCCAGAATTTAAATGATCACCATTTACTTACGTGGTGTTAAAATGAAACACTAGCAACAACAAAAAAAAGACTGAGAAACTAAGTTCTAGATCATTTCAGTTTCTATGAAATTCAGATATTCATAAAAGCATTTTTGTAATATCTGATTAATTGTTATATTAAAAATATAAGTCATGTTCAGCATACACTCAACTAGCTGAAAACCTTTTTGAAGAAGAAAAAAAATTACAGCCCAATATTTTAAAATTAACCGGGACAGCATCATAAATCATTTTAAGAAATTTTATAACAATAATTACAGGCACATTTAACAAATGTGTTCCTCAAAAGATTAAAGCACATGTAAACATTCAACATTTATGTGTGTTTTAATATCATCTTTAGCCTTTGGAGCAGAGTCTGTTGATCACCATTTCAGAATACACAGCATTTATCTCCCCTTCCACATGATATTTAGTGTGATAGTCAGTTGGGAGCAAACCCCTGTGAGATAATTTATTCAGGATAGACTGTCCAAAAGGAACTACCTGGGACAAGAAATAGCAAAACTCTGTGAATCATGCATAAAAGTGGACAGTGTCAGGATACACAACTACCCCATTTTAATTATTTTATTTTATTTTACTGACAAGGACGGATTGTTATTACTTTTAAATTATAAATTATTTCAATAATGTAAGCAACAGTCATGTATCAAATAGTGGAGATATGGATCAGCACTGTGTTCAACTAAGTGGAAAAGAACAGAAAAATTTCTTTGGGGGGAATTTGGGTGGGTTGCAATAAAACCTTTTATTTAATTGATGCTCAAATATGGATGGATCAATTGATATAAATAGGCAGTGTTTAAAAAGTTTATTGTGTAAAAAATGTAGTGAAAAACAAAATTATGACCTCACTTTATGAAAGTGACAAGAACATTTTCCTGGCATGAAGTCCTTAAACCTGGCCATCGTCATACTAAATGTGTCCACAATGGAGAAACCTTTACTCCTGGCATAGGCAAGCACAGCCTCATTGTGCAAATAAAGTTTCTGGTGATCTTCCTGTAAAATTGAAAATGAAATTCTTTTTTGAATTATCAATGCAGAAGTAATAATTCAAACAAAACAATAGTTAAATTTACTATGTAGCCTACTGTAATAAAAAGAAAATGATATAACATCCTACCTCGGATAGCTGATGCACTCCACTAACTGGATGATGGAAACCTGCCCCAAGTCCTTTAACCATCACTTTATAGTCTTTTAGCCCTTCTCTAAACAAATGCAGCATGACAAATATAAATATGATGAGAACTAATGATAATGTATTTTTTAAATTCCAAAACTCATTTTAATTCTAACATAATGTTAAATTTTATTAAACTATAATTTGTGATCAAAGTTTCCACAACTAGATACAATACAGGCTTCAAGACACACTCTCCAATCATTATTACAAGGATTCTCCTTTTTTTCTAAACACAGTGTATATTTGTTTAATAATTGTGTCTTTCATAATCATCAGCATTATTATAAACCCTATTTAATGTTTACCTTAACAAATAATTTTCTTTTCTTAATTTAAGTAAATCATGAAATAGTAACTCAATTTAAAAAAAAATTAAAATACTAATGCAAAGTTACCTCTGCAAACATGAGAGTATCATGTCTATATGTCGTTTGCTAAGCCAATGAACTCCACCCAAAACAATGACAAGTTTGAGCGTTGATGGCGTTCTAAAAATAGAAGACATAGTGAATTGTGACTTATTATAAATAAGGCACAGAAACAAATATCACATATATAATTTATAAGTAGATTAAAAGGTCACAGTGTTAAAGCTCAAAATAATTGAAAGATATCCAAAAGTAATGAGAAGTTTTTCTGTAATCATGACAAACAGATGTATTTTTAGCACATAAAAAGTGGACAAATTTGATATCTGGTGAACACAGCTTTTATCTTCAAAGTGGATGTTAGTGCCATGCCTTTGTATACTTGATATGTAATTAAAATTAAGAAATTTAAGAATGACGTACATCTGCATTTATTTTTATTTAAATAAACCATGGTTTAAAAAATAAATTATTATTAAACATCTCTGTTACCAGCAATCTTTGTGTTTGTTTCAAATAACATATTATGAAATATACAGAAATAAATTAAAATTTGATAAAATAAATTTAAAAAAAAACTTAATCACCTTTTGATAAGCTGTGATAAAGCTTTATCCAGTGGTGGCCTTTTGTGATGAGGCAGCCAAAACTGTGGATAGTAGGCAAACCCAAAAACAGTTCTGCCTTCATTGAGGTCTTCATAGACACGAATGGTATGAGTCTTGTCCCACTCCATGAGGGACCCATTGAGTCTCTCAGAGATGTAGTGTTGGATTCCTCTGTTGGTTGAGTCACCAATAAACAAGACCTGAAAGAAAGTCATGAAGTTTAGGTCTTATAGGAAATCAAGTTGTAAATGTTGAGTAGCATTCTTTTTCATTTGTAATATTATGTAATTAAACTGGTACAAAAATGTATGTACAACTTTCAGATCACCATGTCACTTTATTCGATTTTGTAATTAAATTTACAATACAGAAATAAAAAAATCTCTTAAATAAATTTATTTTGGCATGCATGTATTTAAAAACAGATATAATAAGGATCTTAAACACGATAATAGAGATTACTACTCCCAAACCTTTTTGCCAAACAAGCAACTTTGAATTTCCTGTTTTGACAACTGTTTTTCTCTACACCCTTCTTGATACCAAATTGAATTTTTCCAGTAACAACTGTTTATTTCACTACAGTTTGTGCAAGGGACAAGCCATTGACCTTAAGGATAAAAAAAACGTAAGTGTCAGTATTTTAATAATTAAGAATAATCATTTAATGAGTTGTAACTTACCATATCCATATGGCTATGTGTCTCTAATCAGACAGGGCTCCTTATCTCTTATCAGACAGAGCTAAATATCTGTAAGACAGAGCTACCTATCACTAAGACAGAGCTACCTATCTCTAAGACAGAGCTACCTATCTCTAAGACAGAGCTACCTATCTCTAAGATAGAGCTACCTATCTCTAAGACAGAGCTACCTATCTCTAAGACAGAGCTACCTATCTCTGACAGAGATATCTATCTCTAATCAGACAGAAACCTAACCTATTAATGATGATACATTCTTTAAATCAATTTTTTTAAAGTATTAGATGGAAAAGTGTAATGTATTTCTAATGTATTTGTAGAGTATTATTCCTTCTTCTTCTTCTTCCTCTATATATTAAGGACCCACTATAAACTTATTGATCATTTTGGCTCCTATGCATGTAGAGGGGATTTGTAATGTTTCGGTGCATGGTGTTGATGAGGATATTTCACTGGTTGCAAGTGCTACTTTGTGAGGGTATCATGCGCTGGGGGTTGGAAGGCCTGTTAAGTTTTTTAATGTCAATGGGATTTTTTGAAAAAAAAATCCAATGTGAATAGTGAACCGAATTCTCTTATTTATTAGTTCATGTTAAGAAATGAAAAAAGAAAGATGGAAAATTCTTTAAGCTCACCTGTTGATTCATCATCTCCACATTGGGGTAATGACATCTGATAAGCTAGAAAGTTATTCCACTTGTCAAACTGGGCTTGGTGTAGCCCACAAGGCTCAACTGGTGTTATCAACAGTGAACAATCCTAAAAGATAATAATAATAATAATATAAGTTCATTTCAAAAACACGCTTCATCCCCAAAGGCTCGAAGCGCGGTAAAAAGTCAACAAAAAACAAATCTATAATTTACCACATTTAAAACAAACGCAACACTACAAAAACTAATTACCAGCATACAATGGCAAAGTCTTGCTAGCCATTTCAACCATATGCAACACAGCCATTATGTAATAACTGGAAAATAAGGTTGACAATCATCCCAGAAGGTGTTTGCGAAATAGATGTGTCTTTAAATCGGTTTTAAAGGACTCCAGTGTCTGGTTGTTTCTGAGATTGACAGGAAGGGCGTTCCAAATTGTTGGACCAACAAATGTAAAAAATTCTCATGAATAAATTTAAACAACAATGGAATCTGGAAAAGTAAGGATTATTTTGAACTTGGTTTGTTAATGAGAAACGTTTACAGTTTCTCCTCAGACCAGATGGGACAGTAACTTGTTCCATCTGAAAACATTCCAGTAACACAGTATGAAAACAACTCATCAAATATACATCACTAAAGGATTTATGTTGTAACTCCTTTCACAAAATGCCAGCTATCAGAAACAGCCTGTATGCACAGATCATCTTAATTCAAAAGAACATGGAGATGTTTTTCACCATTGCCTCAGGATGTGTAGATATTTGCCACAATGGTCTCAGGATATATAGATTTTTGCCACCATGGCCTCAGGATATGCAGATGTTTGCCAGCATGGCCTCAGGATATGCAGATGTTTGCCACCATGGCCTCAGGATATGCAGATGTTTGCCACCATGACCTAAGGATATGGAGATGTTTGTCACCATGGCCTAAGAATATGGAGATGTTTGCCACCATGGCCTTAGGATATGGAGATGTTTGCCACCATGGCCTCAGGATATGCAGATGTTTGCCACCATGGCCTAAGGGGGAAGGCTCAAATGGAGATCAAAGGAAGATTCAAGTTTTTAAAGACAAAGGAATTTAAAACAAAATAATTTCACTAATCCTCAAGGTCAAATAATGTTTAAAAGAATAAAAATAAAGGTTTTCTTTGTGCATGAGCCAATGGTCTTGTTGATTTCTTTAAGTATAAGTGGAAAAAAAGATCAAATTTAATTAGGAAATGAAACATCCGAAACTACCTGTTTGATCTGACAGACTTGGTGTGGACTCAGATTAGGATCAAATTTTCCAAAAATCTGATCAGCTGATCTCCTGTGTATAACAACCTTATAAGTTGAAAGTGGCTCCATCTTCCCAAAGTCAGTAACCAGGAGATGGGCTGTGTTATCACCAATTCCAATGATGAAATTATTTAGTCTGGAAAAAAAAACAATTCATAAAGAATTATTAAGAAATAAAACTTAAAATGATACTCAGTATAACCTTCATAACATCAGTTATACTAGTGTATGAATCTTTAACTTAAATACCAGCAAGAAGCCAGTATAGGAGCTGCTCATTCCTGCCCAAGACAATCAGGGACTGGAACCATCTTTCAAAAGGAACAGTTGAGGCGACATTACTAGACACATTTGTGTCTATTGCCTCAAGCCTTCAAACCCCTAGTGGATAATTTCCTCATCACTACCAGTAACAGAAACATTGCAAATCCCATCTACATGCATAGGAGCCAAAATGATCAATAAATTGATCGTGGGCCCTTAAGATATAGAAGAAGAAGAAGAATGATGATTATACTCAACATCAAAGCACATTATATTTTCAATACAACAATTACAATTAAAGGTAATCCAAACTCTGCACATTTTAATGTAAAAAGTTGAAATGAACAAAATAGTTGCCTGACAAACAAAAATTAGTATACAATAAATCAAACTACAAAGTTATAACTGAAATATTGTTTGGGCTAATGGACTAAAAACTCACTTCAAAATTCAACATCCTTGACTCTGACCAATGCTTTAGGAAGTTGTTTTGAAATAAATTATGAAGTATTCTAATGAAGATATAAGCTGAATGGCTGAATGGCTGAGTTGATATAAGCTGAATGGCTGAGTGGCTGAGTTGATATAAGCTGAATGGCTGAATGGCTGAGTTGATATAAGATGAATGGCTGAGTTGATATAAGCTGAATGGCTGAGTTGATATAAGCTGAATGGCTGAATGGTTGAATGGCTGAATGGCTGAGTTGTTTGAATTGATTCAATCCCCAGCCTAGACAAGCAAAAACAACATGAGGAGCCCCCCCCCCCCCCCCGTAAGTTATATGACATTGACAGATTAAAATTCAGACAACTCCTGCAACGTGGAACACATAAGAGCACAGAGAATCACAAGAATCACTGCTGGTCATCCACTCATCCTGGTCTATTTCCAGTTGCCTTGACTAAGTCTTTCCATTGGAACAAATAGGCAATGATGAGAAAGAGTGAGGCTAAGAATTGAGCATTACTCTTCCTCACTTTAAACAAAATACAGCTCATGTCAAGGCTACCACTCAAGTCAAGGCTACCACTCAAGGCTACCACTCAAGTCAAGGCTACCACTCAATTCAAGGCTACCACTCAAGTCAAGGCTACCACTCAAGTCAAGGCTACCACTCAAGTCAAGGCTACCACTCAAGTCAAGGCTACCACTCAAGTCAAGGCTACCACTCAAGTCGAAGCCTTGGTCATCTTCCCATGCAAAGAAAAAACATATATCAACTTTTTACTAAACAACCAATAGCCTTGTCTTTAGTCTTTAGAAAATTAATATTTAAGTTTATTTTGCACACTGTAAAAAGGTCTTATTTAAATCTTCAAGAGTCATTATTACCTATTGTTCTCACTGTCCTCTAGCCGGACCAATGTCTTGCAATGTTTGGGTATGCCCAATATCTGGATGATGGTAGTAGAATAGTCCACATAGGCATGGTATTCAGTAGTTAATGGGGAGAACAGTGGATAGAGTCTTAGTAAGGGAACAGTTTGGATGGCACTAAGATATGGTAAACTTGACGTATCTGGAGAAATAATTTTGAAGAAAATCTATAAACCGGTTTCATAAATTATCTATTCAAAATTCATTAAAAATATTTACTATTAACACTGACTCTTTAATAAACAAGATTTCTTGTATAGAATTACCATATTGTATCAAACATCTGTTTGAGTTTGTGCTTTAAATTTATCTGATATTCTCACCATTATCACAAGATCTTTCAATTAATACACCATCTGTTAAAAATATTTGAAATTTAAAAAATTAATGAGAATTTAGATGCAAAGTCACAAGACAAAGATTACTTTTTTAAATTTCACATTTGTTTTCTGAGGTAACTTAAATATATTACTTAAATAATGTGCCAAGATAACAATAAAAGAATTTGTGATTGGTCTGATATTTAAAGGCTATAAAGTTCAGCTTTTGTTTGAAAAGTCCCTTTATACAATATACCTACAGATGCATTGTTAATTTAAGAAGTAAACGTTTGGGCCTGATTTAATGAAATTTAAAAAAAACATTATAAATGCCACTTACCTGTTAGATCAAGATGAATATCACTAAAATAGGCAGGTCTTGGAGTTTGGATCTCATTTCTGTTAAAATTATTAATAATTATTGGGTTTTTTTTGCACTTAATCTTGCAGGGTATAATATTTTGAAATATTACACGATCAAACAAAACTATGCACAATTATTTCTGATGTTTCTAAATTAAGTTGCAGAGAATCCCCAGTTAATTAGAATATTTTACCCTTATTCACTAAAGAAAAGAAAGAAGTGTGAAGAAACGGAACTAAAATATCTTCAAATATAAATGGTTTTGATTTTTATCAACAAAAATCTAGCTTCAGTTACTAGAAATCTGACTATCCTAAAATGCAATTAAGGTTATCTAATTTTAAATTTTTCAATGTAATTACATATGAAATTTTAAAATGTAAATGCTCCAACCTTTTTATGTGGCCTTCAGACAATCTCTTTGTGTCTTGTTTTACTTCAGGACCAAGAAAATATTGTTCCATTGACTTTATCAAGTTTTCAAATTGATTGAAAGGATCTTTTGATGACTGTAAATTATTGTTTGGATGCAGCTTTTGATTTGTTGGGAATATCTGAAATAATTTGGAAAATAAATTTTGTTTTTTTTAA